CCTAGGACCCAGGCCCTCCTTCCTGAGGAGCAGGTAAAGAGCCTGCCACTGCAGGAGGAGGGCAAAGTGGGGACAGAGACCGGGAAGGCTGGAGTGCTCTGTCCTCCTTGGATATCCTCCACTGAATCCTGAAACAGCATGGAATGCAGCCAAAAATCCTTTTTAAAGATTATTTCCTTTTTCAATGTGTCAGCATAAGGGAAAGGGGGAGTTCAAACATTTCCGCAGTTTGGGCACAGTTCTCTCTCCTGCCAAAACCATCTGGCAGCAGGCCAACCTGTCCTCAGGAGAAAGGTATGCTTGATTCAGTCCTCTAAACTGCGTTAATTGCTGAATTATATCAACTTAAAAAAAAAAAAAAGTCAGCTTTTTTACACCAGGGAAGAGAACAGGGAATGAAGAACTGACTGTGTTTCCTTTCCCCATCTCCTAGAAGATGTGTCTCAAGCTTTCCTTGAGGCTGTTGCTGAGGAAAAGCCCCATGTAAAACCCTATTTCTCTAAGACCATCCGTGATTTAGAAGTTGTGGAGGGAAGCGCTGCTAGATTTGACTGCAAGATTGAAGGTAAGTTTTAGCTAGTCTTCCCTGGACTACAAAAGGGGTGTGGTGGGCTGGTGGGCCCTGCTGTGTCCGTTACGGGTAGCCAGGCGGCAGGGATACCTGGGCAGGGAGGACTCGGCCCACTGCTCCCACTCCATCTCATGAAGGCTGGTGCCACTCAGTGACTCACCTGGGGCGCCTCTGCTAATTCACATACTTACATCAGCCTCTAGACTCAAGTTAAAAGTGGTTTATCATAGACCTGTTTGGCTGTGGAACATGCCTAGCGAAATGAGCTTTGCAAGCTTCTGGGAAGCATGTGAACTGCCCATAAGAGGTTTCAAAGGAAGGTTGGCATGAAGAGTATAAGATGGGGAGCTGGTGGTGGCTCAGCTCCTCATCTGCGGGCTCTGTGACCTTGGGTGATGATCTAAACTCTTCTGAGCCTCAGGCTTTTTTTTTTTTTAGATTATTTATTTATTCATGAGAGACACAGAGAGAGAGGCAGAGACACAGGCAGAGGGAGAAGCAGGTCCATGCAGGGAGCCCGATGCGGGACTTGATCCCAGGACCCCAGGATTATGCCCTGAGCCAAAGGCAGATGCTTAACCGCTGGGCCACTCAGGTGTCCCTAACCTCTGAGCCACCCAGGCATCCCAAGCCTTATTAGGCTCTTAAGATGATGTCTAATGCCTGAGTAGCTAGTTCTGGGGATGCTGTCAGAGGACATATGTGAAAAGGAGAAACCTTGTAAGTCTGTTCAAGATGTCAACAGTCAAGGGAAAAGTTGTGACATTGGTAAGTGCAGAGTGAGCATGCCTTGTGACCTCAAAAGGAGGGGAGCTGGGATCCAGATGCTTATGGCATCTTCCCCATGCTTCTCTGCCTGCCAAGAATAATGAGGCCATAGAATTGTGAGTTGTTAGAGCTCCAGGGAACTTAAGTGATCTTAGCATAGAACCTGAGAAGTTAGCAATGTTGGTGACACAAAAATTTCAGTTTCCACAGATTGCAGCATTCCAGAAAGATTAGGGCAAGACTGGATTCTTTGTCTCAAGTCTGTGACTCTTCTGTGCCAAAGTGAACGGTCATCTCCCATTTCAGTCTGACCAAATAAAGCACAGAAGTTCATTAAGCAACTTTCCCAAGGCTGCATAGCACAGGACAGCAGTCAGAACGAATCATGCCTCCCACGATCTAAGATTCTCCAGTAGTATGACTGACTACATATCGCCTTTTGGGCAAAGTAACCCAAAGTGAAGAATGAAGAAAGTTCTTCTCCTCTGTCATTAAAATTGCTTTGTAAATGCAGTGCCTATCATCATCTTTCTCTTTTTCCATTCAATTAAAAAAAAAGGAGGGTGTGTTGCCTTTGCTAATGTGGAAGTATGCAGATTGGGGGTACTGCTCAAAGCTCTGGGGCCAATGCTCAGAATTCTCACCATCACCACTGTCTTGGGGGTCTTCTAAAGTTCTTTTTTCCTTTTTAAAAATTATTACAACACAGTGATCTCATTTTTGTACTCTTCTCTTTGGGAATGTTTCCTTCATATTTGCATAACTTTGGAGCACTAGGGAGGAATTAAAGCATATGGCTGCAGTTTTGATAAAAACAAAATCTACTTGAAAAGAATGTTAGAATTCTTAAGTTCTTAGGTGTAATTTTTTATTCTGGATGGGGCTGGAAAGTTTTTTCCTGTAAAAATATTTCTCCAAAATGTAAGAAAGAGTCCATTAGAATCATTATATATTTGTAAAGGCCAATATGTGTGTGTATCTCACATACACATCATACATATATATGACATATATGTCATAGGACATATATAGGACATATACATATATGTATGATGTATATATTTAAAAATATGTTTTAAATGCTGAACTTTGCAGAAACATGACTAATAACATAAAATGAGTCTAACCAATGTGGTCAATTTCCAGTTATCTACAGTAGGTAGATTATCTGTCTTTGGATCAGGCTAAGATAAATATTGGTTTTTTTTTTTTTTGGCAATATTATCAGCTCCTCTAACTTATGTATTATTGAGCTTATTGTCAGCTTTGAGTTATGATTTACATAACATAAAATTTACCCATTTTAAGTATACAATTCAGTGATCTTCAGTAAATTCACAGAATTGTGCAATCACCACCATCCAATTTTAGAACATTTCCATCACCCCCAAAAGATCTCTTGTGCCCATTTGTTCTCTTATTTTTTATTTAAAGTTAAGTTCAACTTTTATATAAGGTAAGAAATTTTCTTTTCACCCAAGGAGATACTTAGCTCTAGGTGTGTGGTTGGAGTCAGGGCTATGTCCCACGAAGTACTCTAGATCTGTATAAAGGTGGCTAGTACAATCCCCACATGGCTGGCAAATGGCATGACTGGTATCTTTTGTAGAGTTTTGGATATTACTACTTACAGTATATGCCCATATCCAAATGTAAATCTCGAAAGAGATGCTAAAAGCCAAAACATCATTTTTTTTTCCCCCCTTTACTCCCGAAATCAATAGAGGTTGCTTAGGAGCTGCTTGCATGAATTGATAAGAAATTCTGAATAACAGTTTTCCCAACTTGTGTTCTCTCCCTGTGCTGCAGGATACCCAGACCCTGAAGTTGTCTGGTTTAAAGATGACCAGTCAATCCGGGAGTCCCGCCACTTCCAGATAGACTACGATGAGGATGGGAACTGCTCTTTAATCATTAGCGATGTTTGTGGGGATGACGATGCCAAGTACACCTGCAAGGCTGTCAATAGTCTTGGAGAAGCCACTTGCACAGCAGAGCTCATTGTGGAGACCATGGAGGAAGGGGAAGGGGAAGGGGAAGAGGAAGAAGAGGAAGAGTGAAACAAAGCCAGAGAGAAGCAGCTTCTAAGTCATATTACAAAGAAATTACCAAGACTATTTCTCTAAAGCTCAAAAAATCCAAGATAGTAAAAGCACCTAGTGTGATAGATTATCTAGTTAGGTCATTTGAGGGTTGATTGTTCAGCAACAGCAGGTGGTACCTAGCAGCAGCTATTGATGGGCATTAATGTGAATTAGCTGGCATCTTAAGATACTAGCACAGCCAGATTTCATTTTGGGAAATTACCAGTAATTGCCTGATCAGTTGATATTAAAGAGAAAGTAACCAAAAGAAATCTTTATCTGGGTAAAGTCATAAATTCCCTAACTGAAAGCACTCATGACAAATAAGGCCCTTGGGGTCACAGCTCAGCCCAGAAGGTCCCTGGAGATGGAGACCTGTCTCCCAGCTCCTAATTCCAGGGAACCGTGTCTCCTCCAGTACTGCAGCACTTCATTCTGAAAGCAGTTGAGCCATTCTAACTTACGAGGCACATTTGATTCCAAAGTATACTGTATACATTCAAACTTTTCATTTCTCTCCCCTGTTCCATCTGCCAGTTTTCCTGGATCTGAACTTGCCATGAGTTTGAGCACCAAGGACATTATGCTTCTTAGATTCTGAAGACCGGTCCCCTGTTCATGGATGGCTGGCTTCCTTAGGAAAACAGAATCTCTTTTCTTCCAAAATCAGTAGGAAATCTAAACTTATCCCCTCTCCGCAGATGTCTAGCAGCTTCAGACATTTTTGTAAGAACCCGTGGGGGGAAAAAAAGATCCTTGCTAATGTGCTTTTCTTCTGAAACCAGGATTCGTATTTGTGCTGTTATTAGAATATCAGCTCTCATGTGTGGTAAAGATTTTTGTGTTTGAATGTATGAAAAACCAGTTTGCTGAAAAGTTAGTCTTAATTATTTATCGGCCACTATGAAACAGATTTCAACTGATGAAGGGCTGTAGAACTGCACGTACTTTGGAATCTCCTTCGGGGTAGTCTGAGTTTAACACACTTTCGATTCTAAACACTCTCCAGAGAGCTCTACCTACCTTATGGGTTCTGCGATGTTTTCTTCTTGAATGTGCTCATCAGTCATGCCTTGCCCCCAGCCTTCAAATGTATTCTTAGACCTGATAAATGCACTCAGACTTGCATCTTTAGGAATTTTTCTTTCACTACATTGGCACTTAAATTTTTCTTTATAAACGTTTTGAAGGTCATAAACAAAGACTATAAACTGATATACCTAATACATTTCTCTCTGTGTGTGTGTGTGTAACATTCCAAATACTTTTTCTTTTCCACTGTTTGTAAAGTGCAGCAATTTCATATTTCAAGGGACTTCTTACTAGTTCCTCAAGAAACAATCTGAAATGACTTCAGTACAACCCTACACAGTATCAACTTTAGAACTTTGATATTAGTCTTATGTTACCTTCCATTCTATTTTTATCTGCTTTTTGCTGCTAGTTTCAAATTTGCCAGTATTTTTCTTTTTGCTTTTTAAGCAGTTACAACTTTTTTTCATAATAGCCACAGTATTGCCACAGTTTATAATAAAGGGTTTTAAAATTTGATTTAGAGCATTTGAAGCTTTTCTTCACTTAGTTGTGTTTAGACTATAATCTGCGTGTGCATGTGTGTTGTCATGTGTGTGCGCATGTGTGGTGTGTGTTTGCTACAGGTTTTTAATGTCTTGAAATTGTGTTAATGTTCTCCCAGTTTATTATGCCATCAGAATGGTAAATGAGAACACTACAACTGTAGTTAGCTCACAGTTTTTAAATAAAGGATACCACAGTGCACGCTGTTTGTTCAATCTCTTAACCCTTCTGTTTCTTCCCATGCCACTCGCTGGAGACTACCCAGATACATCCTGGAAACGACAAAAATGCAGTGCTGCGTGAATGGCTTAGATGGTTGTGTTTCACTAAGGACTCGCATAGACCTTGTTTATACTAGAAAGCCTAATTTGCACATTATAAACAAAATCTCTCTTGAGCATCAGTTTGATTCAATTGCATTCTACAGATAAATTCAAATTCCATGGACGTTTGCTATCTACAGAATCCTCATAATGCTAAGATCTATATGACATTCTTGGCATGTGACAAAATTACCATCGTTAATATTATTGACCAGGGCTTGGTTTGCATTTGTAACTTTAGTACACTTTGTTACTGGCAACCAAGTGCTATCTTTCCGTGTCTTGATACTGAAACATTTGTTAGGAGGAAATTCCTGATAATGCTCCTGCTTTATCAAAAATCTGTTATCAGATGGTGAGCCCCTTAGGTCTTGAGTTTTCAAACAATATTATAGATATTCTAAAAGGAATCGGGCATGCTAATAAATGCTGAATTAAATGATTCTATGAACCCACAGTGTAGTCTAGAAGGAGAAACAATACATTGTCCAGTTAATAAATATTTCAATTTTTTCCTTTTTTTAAGGCAACCACAATTCACAAATGTTCCTAGTGAGGAACTTGCTATTTTTAAATAGAACTTTTTATTCCTTGCTAGGGAAAAAGGGGCCATACATATTCTGCACCAGGAAAAATAACAAAAACATTTTCTCCCATTTCATTTTCATCCCAAACACATAAAAACTCGTTGGTTGCTGTTTACATCGCATTACTTCATATGAAATGATATTTCTATGTCTAATTAAAAAGACATGATGACTGTTGTCAGCTCTATATAGTCTCTTTTTGTTTTTGATCAAAGTGTTTGAGTTTTACCTTTCAAATCTTACTGGCTTTTAATAAATCTATGCTAATAAGTATCAAGGACATGAAGGGTAACTGAATTCTAAATTCAACTAAGTTCTCCAATTTTCAAGAAATCACAAGTAATACTACTTTCTTTACCCTTTAGGAATTCCTTCTCTGTATTTAGAAAGGGTGACTCTAATGTCCGTGCTGTCATTACTGAGGCTTTTTGTCCCATGGCACAGCACTACTGGCTCCCTGGCTAGGTGGGGCTGTGACTAGTCCTGGTCACTGAGCTGTGAGAAGAAGTGATGTGCATCCCCTCTGGGCCAGAGTACTTAAATACCAGTGCAAGACTCTCCATTATGGCTGGCAACATGTAAGACAGTGACTGCTTTATCTGCCCAGGTCCCAAGCCAGCCCCCAATGGATATATAACACAAGAAATAAACTTAGTTCCAGTCGGCTATAAATCTAAATATAAATTTTTTCACCATAAAAAAAAAAGAAATAAACTTGGTTCTTATGATTCACCACGATTTTAGGGTTCTTTGTGGCTGCTACATAACAGACTATCCTGTTATAAGGTCATCATCAAATTTGAGATTTTTTTTTTCAAATTTGAGATCTAATACGGTAGCCACAAGGCACAAGTGACTATTTAAGCTCAAATTAACGTAAATAAATTTTAAGATTCAACTCCTCAGTTATGCTAGCCACAATTTCAAGTATTCAGTAGTCACATATGACTAGTTTCCATATAATTGGACACCTCAGGTTAAAACTTTCTGTAAAGTTCTATCACCACTGTTCTAGATGGACTAGGGAAAAATGAGAACTCCAAATTTTATCTTAACTGTATTGCTGTGAAATTAGAACTTAAATGTTTGTGTGAAATAGTTTCACCATTTATACTGGATAATATAGACTCAATAACTAGGTTACAGTTTTTGGTTTTTTTTTTGTTTTGTTTTTTTTTTTAATAAAGATTTTATTTATTTATTCATGAGAGACACACAGAGAGAGGCAGAGACAAAGGCAGAGGGAGAAGCAGGCTCCTTGCGGGAAGTCCGATAAGGGACTCAATCCCAGGACAGAAACACTACCTGAGCCAAAGGCAGCCACTCAACCATTGAGCCATCTGGTGACCCGGTTATAGTTTTTGATTATTCATTTATATTCGTATATATTTTTCACTTTTTAAGACATTTTAAAAGTACTAGTTCTATGCTCCTCACCACCAAATCCAAGTAGACCTGCAATTCACAAGCAATTACAAGATTACTTGTGATATGAAACAACCAGCCAGGACAACAATCTCAAGTGTTTTGGAACCTGGAGCTATCTGAGATAGGGGAGCATCCAATGGGGCCACTTGAGATAGATGCAGAGGAGAGACCGGGTCACTAGGGCAGGATTTCCTTGGCAGAGAACCAAAAAGGAGGTGGGAGGGGCCACTGGGACAGCTAAGATCATTAACATTGGTTGTTTTGATCACTGGGACTGGAAATACCCAGGAGACCTACAGTGTTTGGAGACAACCTTACATTTCTAACTGCTGCTTGTTTGAAATCTCAGCCTGTAGGCCTTGCCATGTTCCAAATGCTAACATTCTGCAGGGAGAGCTTCATGTCAGAGACTATAGCCCCACTGGTGACCACATGAAGTATATGACAACATCTTCACATTATCATGGCACTAGATTTCTTCTAGTTGGAGATAACTAAGGAAGAAGAAAATTATCACTTAACCTGTCCATTTGGTCATTCACACTTACTAGCTTATTTTGGGCAGACATAAGTAGTCACTAATAGTGAAGTGATAGGTTGAGCTATTGGGCCCCTCCACATCCTTATCCCAGACGGCAGGTTAACGTGAAGGATAGCCTCAGACCGAATTCATCAAACATTAATTAGCAAGTAGTCATACAACCTGTTCTGTAGGGTCCATTAAGTCTAAGATCTCGCTCCAGAAGGCACTTGACATGTTCACTGAAGATAAATGCTGCAGAATACACGGGTAGGATTTAGCTAACCTGGTTAATCAGTCAAGGGGAGTTGGTTCCAACTGTGTCTCTTACTGGAGCTGTGCAGCTTGTGCTTCAGTCCCCTCATCTATAAAACCAGAGTAACAGCTCCTCCCTCTTAGTTGTTATAAAAATTAAGTGAGCTCAGGGCACCTGGGTGGCTTGGCCGGTTAAGCATACAACTCTGGATTTCAGCTCAGGTCCTGATCTCAGGGTCATGAGATCCAGCCCCATGTCGGTTCTGTGCTGGGCATGGAGCCTGCTTAAGATTCTCTCTCTGGGGATCCCTGGGTGGTGCAGCGGTTTGGCGCCTGCCCTTGGCCCAGGGCGTGATCCTGGAGACCCGGGATCGAATCCCACGTCGGGCTCCCGGTGCATGGAGCCTGCTTCTCCCTCTGCCTGTGTCTCTGCCTCTCTCTCTCTCTGTGTGTGTGTGACTATCATAAATGAATGAATGAATGAATGAATGAATGATTCTCTCTCTGCCTCTCTCCACCCCACCTCTCCTGCTAGCATGCATGCACATGCTTGCTCTCTTTCAAAAATAAAAATAGATCGATTTTTTTTTAAGTAGGCTGCACGCCCAGCATGGAGCCCAATGCAGGGCTTGAACTCACAACCCTGAGGTCAAGACCTAAGCAGGAATCAAGAGTCAGAAGCTTAACCAAGTGGGCCACCAGGCACCTCTAAAAAATAAAAATAAATGAGGTCATGCACATTACCTGATCCTGATGGTAAGCCCCTATTCTTCTGGCACTCAGAGATGCTAAAATACATCAGAAACATCCTCTACTCTCAAGTAACTGTTTATATTCCTGCAGAAACAAAATACAGATGTGAAAAAGTTATATACTAACGAAAGATGAAAATAACCATTTAAATTCGTCCACCTCCCAGAAAAGGATCTTTGAATTTGAAAGTACCCATGCAATTGTTCAAGAAATAATTGCTGCTCTGGGATCCCTGGGTGGCTCAGCGGTTGAGCATCTGCCTTTGGCCCAGGGCATGATCCCCAAGTCCCAGGATCGAGTCCCGCATGGGGGTCCCTGCACGGTGCCTGTTCTCTCTCTGCTTACGTCTCTGCCTCTCTGTCTCTCATGAATAAGTAAAATATTTTTTAAAAAAAGAGGGAATTGCTGTGAGTTTAGGAAATGCTACAAACTGTCCTCTTGTCCTAAGGGAAAGTTTTAACTCCCAATTGCTACTCTCTTCATAGTCAGGAGAACAGCTCATTTGACCTTAATGAGCCTTATTTTGCAATTAAGAGGAAACTTCTCAGACTTAGCTTGGCTTTAATTGTGCTATACCTTTATCCCAAAGAGTTCCCTAATTTTTTTCTTTATCTTTGATCTACTTGCCGTTTAAGTAACATTAACTTCCATGAAAAAAAAAGTGTGAAGATCAACAGCTCTATACACAGGTACAGTTGCAAGGAAAAAGCATGTGGCAAAATAACTACAATCTGATTTACTAAGTGAGAAATGTGTTATGGATATGCACACAGATTCTTATTTACTAAGAAAATCTTAAGATCACTTCCTTTTTTTTTTGACATAATAATTTTTATTTTTGGTGGTATCTCCCAGTTTATAGAGCACACTGTCAATAGCTCATTTGATTTTTTTTATCATTTGATTTTCTTCATCATGATAAAATAATCCCCATCCCCTATTTCCCTCATCCCCCCATCCACCTCCTCTCATCCACAAAAACTATATATTTGGTATCTATGGTTAAGAGTCTGTTTCTTGGTTCGTTTCGTTTTTTCCTTTGATCGTTTGTCTTTTTTCTTAAATTCTACATATGAATGACATTATATGGTATTTGTCTTTCTATATATGGTATTTCTGACTTATTTTGCTTAGTATTATACTCTCTAGCTCTCTCATGTTGTTGCCAATGGCAAAGTTTCACTCTTTTTATGGCTGAGTCCATTGTACGTATGTCCACTGTGTGTGTGTATATATATATGTGTGCATGTATATTTTATCTTTTTATCTATTTATTTATTATTTATTTATTTATTCATTCATTCATTCATGAGAGACAGAGAGAGAGGCAGAGACACAGGCAGAGAGAGAAGCGGGCTCCATGCAGGGAGCCCGATGTGGGACTCAATCCTGGGACTCTAGATCACGCCCTGGGCCGAAGGCAGGTGCTCAACTGCTGACCCCCACAAGCATCCCCGTACATATTATATCTTTATCCATTTGTCCATGGATGGACATTTGGGCTACTTCCATAGGCTGGCCACTGTAAATAACACCTCTGTAATACACAGAGGTGCATGTATCCCTTTGAATTAGTGTTTTTGTATTTTGGGAGTAAATACCCCGTAGTGCAAGTCGGATTGTAGGGTAGTTCTATTTTAAATTTTTTGACAACCTCCATACTATTTTCCACAGTGGCTGCACTAATTTGCATTCCCACCAACAGTGCAGGAGGGTTCCTTTATTCTCTACATCCTTGCCAATGCTTCCTTCTAGGAAGGATACTATATAATAATAGAAAAACCCACCAACAGGATATAACAATTGTAAATATTTATGCATCCAAGATAGGAGCACCCAAATACACAAAACAGTTAATAACAAACATAAAAGAAATAAAAACATAAAAGAAATGATCAATAGTAATATAATAAAAGAGGACTTTAACACCCCACTTACATCGATGGACAGATCATCAAAACAAAATCAACAAGAAAATTGTGGCTTTGAATGACACACTGGGCCAGATGGATTTATCATATTCAGAACATTCCATTCTAAAACAGAAAACACGTTCTTTTCAAGTGCATATGGAATATTCTCCAGAATAGATCACATATTGGGCCACAAAACAAGTCACAACAAATTCAAAAAAAATTGAAATCATTCCATGCATCTTTTATGACCACAACACCAGTAAGCTAAAAATCAACCACAAGAAAAAATCTTGTGATTTTTTTCATCACAATGAGCATAAATACATGGAGGTATTTAATATGCTATTAAACAATGATTGGGCCAAGAAATCAAAAAAGAAATTAAAAATTACATGAAAACAAATGGAAATGAAAACACAATGGTCCAAATTCTTTGGGAGGCAGCAAGTGGTTCTAAGAAGAAAGTCTGTAGCAACACAGGCCTACCTCAAGAAAAAAAATCTCAAATAAACAACCTAATTTTATACCTAAAAGAGTTAGAAAAATAACAAATAAAACCTAAAACCAGCAGAAAGAAACACATAATAAAGTTTAGAGAAGTAAATTATACAGAAAAAAAATTACATAAAAACTAAAAAGGAGATCAATGAAACCAGGACCTGGTTCTTTGAAAACTTCAAGCAAGATTCATTTAAAAAAAAAAGAGAGAGAGAGAGAACCCAAATAAATTACTAATGCAAGAGGAGAAATAGCAACCAACACCAGAAATACAAACAACTGTAACAATATTATGAAAACCTATATATCAACAAATTGAACTCAGAAGAAATATATAAATTCCTAATTTTTAATTGATGTTTACAAAAGCTAACTCACATTGACTTGTTCCTGACTGCATATTAGCCACAGAACAAATCCCGCGCTGTTAGGCAGTCCCAGGAAATGGCTGGGAAGATATCTTTTTTTTAATTGTCTACAAAACTCAAAATGGAGGGGCCCTTTTCTGGAAAAGCAGGATACCAAGGGCTTAGAAAATGAGAAGCTACTATAGCAGGAGTGGAAGCCCAACAGGACCTACTGAAAAGAAGCAGTCACTCTCTTCTCTCTGGAACCCATGCTAAACTGAGAGTAAAGGAATAATAATTTTTTTTAAAGCTGTAAACCCTTCAAAGACAAATATTGGAGACGACAGATGAAAAATCCCTGATTTTTGTAAGACAAGAAAGCAAACAAATGAGTGGGTAACTGACTTGGAGCACAGAAGAAGCCGATACCTGACTTGCCGCAGAGAAGGAAGCTGTAAAAGGCAGGTCGGTTTTGCCCTGAAGAACTCCTAAAAGGCTAGAGACTGGAGGAACCAGGTGCTTATGAAGGGGATCTTTAAAGGGAATGTAAGGTATCAACATACAGATGCAAACCAAGGTCTTTCAGGTCAAAGTCCAAATAGAAGATCGCGATAGAGGTAGGATGGAATAACTAGGAATTAGGACAGACCAAGGTCCAAGGTCCAGGAAGTCAGTCTGAACACACTCATTATACCTATAAAGTACAGAAAAGAGCCTGGTCCTAGAAAGGCATGTGCTTGCTCAAGTAAGTTTTATTTATTTATTTTTTTCAAGTAAGTTTTAAAGACAGATAAGCCTCTTCACACTGGTTGTCCAAGAAGCCAAACTGTTTAGACTTTCAATAATGAACCTTCTTAAGGGCTGGCTTACATTCATTTAAAACAGAAGCTCAATTAACTAATTTCCATTTCATACAACTTGCCCAACTTAACAATTCTCATTCCTCTGTAAAATAAATTAACTGATGCCCACATACTTCTGACTGTAGTCAATAGGGTTTATTCTTAAACTTACTCATTCTAATTGTAACTGTAATTACATAATTTAATTATTACAGGAGTCAAGAAAAATTGAGTGATAAAGGGGAAAGTAGTTGTTTCTACGGAAACTCATTGAAGACTAGTGGCCATACATGGTGGACTGAACACTTGCATTTATTTCCTGTCTCCCAAAACCTCAAGAAAATGAGAGTAAAAGGACAAAGGCATGAACCCACATGGGCAAAGGATGGGAGAGGTGATACGGTAGATTTGAGTGTTGACAAAATTGGGGGATAGACTAATTGGTAATTGATTTTGTTCTTTTTCCACTCCGCGAGTGTCTGCAGGAAAAAAAAAATCCTCAAAGAGAAAACTGAGTCCTACCACAGAACTAGGCAAAAGTAGAGGCATTAGACTGACTCTCTCCCATCTCCTCCTGTAGCCCATATGGCCCCTCTGACAGTCTCGTTCCCAATCCTGGCAGAAAAAGGGATCTTCTGGTTACACTAGAGAGGCCATGGACTGGATGACAGGCCCAACTGAGATGGGAGTGAAGCAACTCAGAAAACAGGACTCAGGGAAAAGCTACACACTAAACCTCAAAACTCCAGCCCTCTCCCCTGTGTGGCTGGCTGCCAGAACTCTGACTGCCAGGCAGGACCAGCTATGTAATTTGGAGGGCCCAGGGAAAAATGAAAATGTGAGGCCTGGGGACCCCTGGGTGGCGCAGCGGTTTGGCACCTGCCTTTGGCCCAGGGCGCGATCCTGGAGACCCGGGATCGAGTCCCATGTCAGGCACCCGGTGCATGGAGCCTGCTTCTCCCTCTGCCTATGTCTCTGCCTCTCTCTCTCTCTCTCTGTGTGTGTGTGTGACTATCATAAATAAATAAAAATTTAAAAAAAAGAGAGGCTTGTTAGGCCTTTTGTTAAAAAAGAAAAAAAAAGTATTAAGAATTTCAAAACAGTGATAGCAGGGCATTAAAACAAGCATGAGACCCTTCTAAGTGTGGGGCGCCATGTGACTGCACAAATGTGCACCTGTGAAGCCAGCCTTATTGCAGGGTACCCCTGCAGAGGCAGGAGGCTGAAGCATTTTTTCTGGAAAAATTGGATAGCATGGAGAAATAACCCACACATACTGTCATACAGGAATTTCTCAACAAAACAGCCCAATTTTCATTAAATTGTCAGTGTTGGTATTTTATGTACTTGAGGGTGATTTTTGTGCTCAAAAAAGATTACTTGGAAACCATTCTGGGGTTTTTGTTTTTTAAGTAAGCTCTATGCCCAATATGGGGCTTGCCCTCATGGACCCAAGATTAAGAGTTGTTGCATGCTCCACC